CTCCCAGCGAAGAGTTTGGATGGCGTCAGGATTGAATTTAATGGCACCTGATACAAGAGCATTCTGCAGTACGTCTTGTTCAAAGTCAATAAAATGCACGCCATCTGTATCAACTTCCTCGAAATGTGATGATGAGGAACTATCGCAGACACTGCAAATTCTCAGATTTCCAGATTCATCTAGACCTTGCAACAAGGACCGTCGTCCGAGGCAGTCCCTACTGAAATATAGCCTCGAGTTCACTGCATCATAGAAAACAAAGGAAAAGGGACCTGTAATGTTACTTATGACACCAGCAATTTTCCGTACGGGATCTTCATGATCGACAGCGTCCAACAACGAATGGGTAGCGCGCAGGAACGACTGGAAAATGGACTCAGTATCATTATCTTGGATAGGCTCGCCAGCTATCTTCCAGGCCTCGCCATTCCAGCAGAGTACGGATTGAGTAGACGAATCCACGAGTGGTTGGGCATAGACATGATCTCCTCTCAAAGAAAGCACCGTGGAGATGAATGTGAGAGTGACAGTCACCTTTGTCTGGCCCTTATGACTCAAAGACAATTCCTGTTGTCTTGTATGTATTTGGTAGCTGTCGGGTCCCCGGTTGCGCAGTAGATTGCAGGTCTCCTCATTTGGGAGCACTGACCCATTAGTGCTCAATGAGAAATAAATGCCACACATTGCAGCACAGTGGCTGCAAATACAATATAGCAAATATCCTGGTTCTTGCGATTAGGGGATCAAAAGGATAAATTAGATTGTAAGAAATTCAACCTCGGTGTTATGGTTCCTTTGTGGCCGGATCTCGGGGCAACGATGATCCACATAGCTCTGCGCTGGTAGTGATAACCAAATACTCCACTCTGCCTAAGCAGCCTAACATAGGTCCGATCGACGTTATTTCGTGCCCTCTCCTAGGTTAAATAGACATTCGCTATCTATCCCATTGTTATTTGAATGAGTTTTCCTTGCTGCTTTTGAGCTTGACCGCTGTGTGTGCTGGATGTTCCTCATAATGATCCGAGACCTCGTCTGAATCTCCGTCTCTTCCCCACCGAGCTTCTACATTGACCGTCGGCGTGCATGCAGATTGCTTATGTCTGAACAAGCGATTTCCACGACCCCGGCTCCGGATGGACGACCGGACTCTCAGTGGGATACTCATGGCGATCAAATAAAATCGAATCAACAGCAAACGAAATCCTCAGGTACCGTATCATCGGTGTCGGCACATAATGACCCCTCAGCAACACACGAAGATCCACATCAGAGCGACCAGTTGGGTGAAATGAAGGAGATACATCAAGATGGGTCACCAACCTCTGCATTTGACTCGCCGAACATGACGTCTGAGAAATCCGCTCCAGATTCCTCAAAATCAACACCCGAACCCCAGGGGACGTTGTCAGCGCGTATGGAAGGATTGTCGGTCTCGACGAATACAACAGAAACCGGCTCATTAGTAGACAGCGATATGCCCCCGCCTCCCCCAGAGAAAGACGAATCCTATCTTAGTACGAAATCCCAGCTTGCACCACCCCTGCAGACGTCTGTGAATGCGACTTCTGAATTGAGCGAGAAAGAGCTACCGGATGTACCGGGTGACGGAGAGAAGGAAGATAAACAGGACGCTGGCATGGCAGGTGCTCGAGAGGATGACTCTGAATCCGAGATTCAGAGCATCATGGGTCAGTTTCAGGATCCTGAACGCAGGGGCAGCCAGGAGCAGTTGATGTCTCCTCGTTTGGAGCTGGCTGAGCAATTTCTTGGAGGGCAGGGTCATTTTCCGCCGCGTCATTCGAGTCTTTCAAAGTCAGCGGACGGAGGCCCTCAGGTGAATGCAGGGACACCACCTTCGGCAGTCGAGAAGCCACCTGCTCCTATTTCGAAGAGCGCACATAGAACTTCGGAAGATTATCCAGCACTGACTCGACGATCTTCTACGTCGACTGTCCCTCCACCTCCGCCAGAACCTGAGCCCGATCAACCGTTCGATTTCCATCGTTTTCTGGAACAGCTCAGGCACCGCACTGCAGATCCTGTGGCCAAGTTTCTCCGCTCGTTCCTTAATGAGTTTGGCAAAAGACAGTGGATGGTACATGAGCAAGTGAAGATCATTAGCGACTTCTTGACCTTTATTACGAATAAGATGGCCATGTGTGAGGTCTGGAGGGATGTATCCGACAGCGAATTCGATAACGCGAAAGAGGGTATGGAGAAGCTGGTCATGAATCGATTGTATTCGCAGACCTTCTCACCTGCTATACCGGCTCCTCCCTCAATCCCAAGAAGTGCAAGCAGAAGCAGACGAAGAGAAATGGAACGACTTCATGGGCCATGGAGGCGTGGTCAGCACCAGGAAGATGTCGAACGGGATGATGTATTGGCGCAAAAGATGCGGATTTACGGTTGGGTGAAAGAGCAGCATCTTGACATACCGCCTGTGGGCGCTCACGGCCGTCGGTTTTTGAACCTGGCACAGCAGGGTAAGTCTCGATGTCAGTTTATGCTGGGACTGTATCTGACACTGAACGTAGAGCTTCTGAAGATCAACGGCTACCGTGCACCACGTGATAAAGTGATTTGCATATTGAATTGTTGCAAAGTTATCTTCGGTGAGGCAGCAGAATGAGTAGTCCCTGAGCATGAAAGGTACAGCGCTGATGCCGATTTCTCTTGCAGGGCTGCTAAAAAATTCAAAACAAGCCGACACATCAGCAGATTCATTCGTTCCCCTTCTAATCTACGTCGTACTACAAGCTCGTCCTGAGCATCTGGTTTCCAATATCCAGTACATTCTTCGCTTCCGAAATCAAGATAAGTTAGGAGGAGAAGCTGGGTACTACCTATCTTCACTGGTATGTCAATCAGACATTATTTGCCCTGATAATGTAGGAAACATAGCTGATTTCATAAACAGTCAGGTGCTATTCAATTTATCGAGACCCTGGATCGCACAAGCCTGACGGTGAGTGATGAGGAATTTGAGCGCAACGTCGAGGCTGCCGTGTCTGCTATTGCCGAGCAGAATCGCGAGTCCGAGTCTTTCGAGCCGAAAAGAGCAGATCGTCCTACGGCGGAAAGCTCTCAGGCTCCATCGCGGGTTTCAACCGATACACAAAGACCTGCGGCGCGGAGAGAGGCGCCGCAAACGAGTGACGAGGAGAGCGCACCAGTAGCAGGACTATTGCGAACTATTCAGAAACCACTATCAACAATCGGAAGGATGTTTTCGGACGAGCCAGATTCGCCGCACGAGCGGCCAATGCAGCCTGCCAGCACCCCGCAGCCGGGGGCACCACCGCGACTGTCCCCTCACGTATATCAGCCGCCTCGTAGTAGTAGCGAGGGGCCCCGTAATGCGGCACAGCCGCAGTTGGCCAGGGTACTGGATGCGCAAGATGCCGCTGCACGTCAAGCTAGCGCCGAGGATGCGGAGGCACGAAGGATTCAGCGGGCTGAACACAATAACGTGGTGGAGACACTGTCGAACATGTTTCCGAATCTTGATCGCGACGTCATTGATGATGTGGTCAAGATGAAAGAAGGAAGGTTGGTTTTTCTATGATATAAGGTAGAGAAGCATTGCTGACGCTGTTGCTGCAGGGTTGGTCTGGCCGTCGACGCATGCCTCGCTCTGAGTGCGGAGTAGGAGAGTACTACTGCTAGTAGGGTATTGGAAAGCCTACATGAATTTTGAGGGTGTCATACTATTGCTTTGATAGCCACACGTCGCAGCATGTCGCCTATCTTGTAGCTATTCAGCTCTTCTAGTCATGCATGTGCATATATCGCTCGGGGCAGCTATGACCTCCCAGTGCCGTCTCTAATACATCGACCGAATGATACTTGTGGTCATCTGTGAGCTATGTCGCAGTAAATTCGTCCCAGTATTTAACCGAGCCGAGTCGTCATATAACAGTATAAGGTAGTACTATATATTGTCGAGTATATCACGTGATCTACTATAGTCGGTGTTCGACTTTGATAATGGATGGCCATGGCTCAGGCTCCAGCTCATCAAAATTAGTGGCGAATCGGAGCGCGCCAAACCACCTCGCTTGCTGCTAGCGGCGTTTGGCATTCCCCACCACAACATATATAAGTCTGGTCGACCCCCCTTCCTTTTGTCTTTTTTCTTCTTTCTTTTCTTCATACTTACCTTGTTTGGGTGGCTGCGATCAAGAAGGCGGTCCACCACGGATTGGTCCCTGCATTGCACAGCGCGGCGGAACAATCCGTTCAACGGCCTTCGGGTCATTGACAGGCGTATTCTTTGGCACTTTCCACCTCGTGGATATCATACTTTCCTTTTCATCAGTTCTCGGGCCAGTGGCTCGAGGGTGGAGAAGAGGTCTGATATGGTGTGTTCTCGTACTCATTACAGAATAATGTATGTAATGTACCTTAGTTTTCGAGCTGTGTGCTGCAGGTAGATGCAGATCTGGCGCAAATGTTATTCTCTTAACCACTTTCAGGGACCCTCATGAAACTCCTAGCCGCTTTCGTAAAATGTTCCAAGATCCCTTGGTAGAGTTACGATCGTTATTGCCTTCCATGTCGGAAAGATGGAGATTGTCTTTGAAAGCCTAATCACCTGATACGCTAAACTTAATATAAATTCGAATAAATTATGTGTTTTGTACATGCAACATAATAATACTGGATTCTTCATGATCCAAGTATGAAAGATACAGCTTGTGACGGCTGCTCGGGTCCGCCAGGAAGCGCGCCTCGACCAGTGCAGCGTTGACAGTTAATTTCCAGAGAAGCTTATTTACGAACTCGAAAAGAGGATCTCTCCTCTTCTTTGCCTTCCTTCAGTCCTACCTGATGTCCAAGTCAAACGATTCCGACGGGCCAAGAAGCTCATTAAACCAAGACATGTCTTTGGGCCAGCTGTCCAAAACATCCTAAAGATCCAAGATTGGCCAAATTTCCGATTCTCTTCACAATCAGGATCCAGCATTTTCAGGATCACGAGAGTGAATGTGAAAATGTCTCTTCTTCATTTACCTGCCGAATTACGGCTCTTAGTTGCAAATTTGCTGGAGGAAGAAAGAGACATTAACTCATTAGCTCAAATCAACCAGGAGTTTTATTCTCTCCTCAATCCATACCTATATCGACGCAATTTGCTGAACTGTAGAGGTTCAGCGCTGTCGTGGGCAGCCCCACGAGGGAGAGAGGCGACGGCCCGAATTTGCATTTCAGAAGCAGCTAACATTGGAACGATTGATTATACCCTCCCCTTATTCCGGGCCGCTAAGTTTGGCCACGAGGCGGTGGTGAAGCTATTACTGGAGACTGGGCGGGTGGATGTCGACTCGAAGGACTTTTTCAGTCACACGCCACTATCTATTGCTGTGTTGGGGGGGCATGAGGCGGTGGTGAAGCTGTTACTTGCGACTGGGAGGGTGAATGTCGACTCAAAGGACTCCAATGATCAGACGCCATTGTCGTTTGCTGCGGGGGGAGGCCGTAAGGCAATGGTGAAGCTGTTACTGGAGACTAGGAGGGTGGATATCAACTCAAAGTGCTCCCTGGGTCGCACACCATTATCATGGGCCGCGTTTGGGGGCCACATGGCAGTGGTGAGGCTGTTACTAGAGACTGAGGGGGTGGATGTGGACTCAAAGGACTCCAATGGTCGCTCGCCATTATCTATTGCTGCGTGGAGAGGCTATCAGGCAGTGGTCAAGCTATTACTGGAGACTGGGTTAGCGAATGTCGACTTAAAGGACTCCCATGGTTGCACGCCATCATCTGTTGCTGCGTTGAGGGCGGCGTGAGGCGGTGGCCAGGCTGTTACTAGAGACTAAGGGGTGGATGTCGACTCAAAGGACTCCTTGGTAGCACGCCGTTATCGAGTGCCGCGTGGTGTGGCCATTAGGCGGTGGCGAAGCTATTACTTGCGACTGGGCGCCACTGCCTATCCCATGCGGGAATCCTCATGCCCGTTGTGGTCTAGCGCTGTCCAGGGAGATCGCGCCTCCTCTTATTCAGATCATGGACTCTGCTGTGGTGCATGTTCCAGATGAGCAGTCTGGCCGTACCATGCCTATGCCGGCACCCGGCCTCCCCGCTGCCAGAAGTCCTCGTACATTCGTCCGTATTGAGCTTCCATGAGGGGTTTCATCTCCTCTCTTCTGCGGTCTAGGCTGGGATCCAATTTTGCTTGACTCTGGAAATTGGTTCGAGAGTGTCGTTATAGACTAGTGATGGAGTGGGTAGTGACAAGCTGAGGGTTAGAACCAGCAGGAGAAGAGGGCCATTAAATATTGGATAAAAAGGTATCATCACTGTCTTCTCAGCTGCAGTGGACAGCGCAGCATGGCAATCGTCACTCAGCAGAACCTGATGAAGATCGGCACCAGCTCCCCCACCGTTCGGTCTAGCATCGCTGGCGCTGGAACCAATCTGCAGTAATGATCTGTACTGATCTTGTCCTGTGTGGGGGGAGGTGAAGATGGTCAACTCATCGCATGTTATCCTGCGTAACTCCATTGGTTTCCTCGCGAAGAGAGTGGTTGGGGGGGTGGGGGGGGTTATCTCTCGCAAATTGTTTGTTGGCGACGAGGTGGGATCCAAATATGTATCCTTTTTCGGCAAATACGAAGGCCGAGTGTTATCATGGATATCATAATGACAAGAAATTTATAGTAAAGCCACGGGAGGTGTGTCGGCAGGTAACTCGAGACTAGAAGCTTCATTTGCTCATCAAGGCTCTTATGTATGAGTTTGCCCAAAACTCTCGCCTGCGGAAACAGAAAACCTCCTGAAAGAATATCAGTAACCATTTGACTGAAACATGAAAATGAGACATTTGATCTGTTCTAAGGCATTTGCTCATGGATATTACAAGTTGATACCCCGAGCACTGAAACTAGATTGACCGATAGGTTTCCAAGTAAGGATGAGCGTACGGCTAATGCATTTCAAAGTAGCCAGCTTATTTGAAAGAGAAATGTTTATTTGAGCGCTGGTGCCGGTACTACAGTTTTTGTTATTGCTATACCCAATGCAGGGGAGATATAGACAACTTGGCATTAGGCTATGGGAAACAATTAAAGAGGTACAGGTGGTAAAGCCAGTTTCCGGAAAGTCTGTATCCAGACGTTATGTGATCAACAAAGATGCCATTTTGAAAATGCTCGTTTCAATTCGAAGTACGCTGACCTCGCGACTTGTCTTTGCTTTGGAAAATCAGACTGCGCCACAGCATACAGTGGCGTGTGAGTAAACGACTCAGCCACACTAGTGCACAGAGTGACGTTGTCGCCACAGCTGTCAGTCGGTATCCACCACGGACTACATAAACACATCGTTGTCAGCTACTCCGTACTGAGTCTACATCACACGCAGGCTACAATTGTTTGAACTACTACTTCATTCCTCCTATTTGTGTCTATTTCTACGGACTACCGCGGAGTAATCTCCACAAATCTAAGATGCCTCACCTAAATCCCCCCTCTAATGAAGGCAAGGAACCATCGACTGGAACTCGACCTACTGGCTCCGCCGGCTATGCATCATTAGATGCCCTATCCACAAGAGAAGGCAACGCCAGCGGACGAGTCTTTGGTACAGGCACCGGCGGCACGGTCACATCGCCGGAGTATTCGTCCGCCCTGAGCTCGGATGTCCTGCAGAACGCGGAGAGCGATCGCGCCATGAGCAAGGAGGAGGCCGATAGGATGTACGAGCAGCGTATGGAAGAGGAATATGCGAAGAGAGAGGGTGGTGCTTGAACCATATGGCGATGCTGACACTACAAAGTTAATTAAGAATCTCTTCTCCGTGTATTTATAGTTTCCTGAATTAGATTGCATATCATAGATGAGTCCTGTTCGCGCGCTAAAATGATGTTCATGTTCTTGGCAGAGCGTGGCGTTCAGTTGTAGCTTGTAGGTAGCAACTGAGAAAGCTGACAGTGCAAGAAAAAAGAAAAGTGCGAAGCCAGTCCGTTTCGAACGGATGTAGTCGCGTTGCTCCAGCAAGATGGCTGACACGCCTACCTCCAAACAAGGTCTGTAAGTGTGGAAAAAAAACTGGTAGCTTCTCTTTGATTGAGCGTGTCATCCTTAGTGCAGGGGCCATGCTAATCTTCTCTGTATCGTTTCAAATTGACCAAATGCCCGAAGGCACTGGAGTAGGAACTAAAATGGTTTATATGCATTTCAGAAGTAGGGTTTCCGGCGGCATGATTGGTCGGTAAGCGGGAGTGAGGAACACCAAAACTCACCTTACCTTCTATGGCCCTGGGACAGCGACGCAACGAGATTGAGGAACGGGCCATTTCAAGGTGAACCCTGGTAACAATTATGAGGCTATGTGGTCCTGCAAAAGTGGAGGTACTACACACTTGACCTCAGGCTCCGACGACGTAGAGAGCCATTTTCAAGAGCAATATGAGCGGGATCCTCCAAGCCACAAGAAGAAATGAAGGCAGCGAAAGGAGAAACGCAGGCAGATGTCAACTAATGCACGAGATCTTTTCAGCATTCATCCCTAGATGTGACTGGTGCCTGGTGACAACTCGCAAATGTGATCAAGGGTGCTGAAGGGTTTTCAGGGGTACCAAAGTTGAGAATCTAGTTTGATTGAAGTTGAACTTTGCTTAAATGGGGCCTCGTATTCTACTTTTCCTCGCGATGTGATTAGCGCTGGAGATGCTGACAAGCGAAAATCGTATTTTGGGTTCAGATCAACTTGTCCTAAAGTTCCCGCCTATACGAGCCTCAAGTTCCATTTTGGGAGCTGATCATCCAAGCGAAATCTTTCTCTCAGGACCCCTATCCGTTCATTTGCTGCCGCTCCCACTTTCAGATTCAGGGTTTGACTACTACCATTCCCAATTGGGATATCTGTTCGACTCTGTAGGAGCCATCTGAGACTCTTTCTCTCCATCGATAGTCAGGCGAAGGCCTACAATGACCGTCCCAGTGTGCGATGATAGGCTCCTCGTTGGGAGCCGTTCGTCTGAGAGGCCTGAAGCAGCAATTTATTTGCATGGGGCTTGAAAATCCGTTTCCAGCCGCATTCGAGTCTAATAATATAACTTGAATGGCCATGGGGCAGTATAAAGTCTCGTGTCGCCAGTAGATGAGGCTGAATCGTCGTGTGCAAACTTGAGTATTCTTCACGTTTCCTCCAAACTTCATTCATTTAAAGGTTATTGTCATCTTCAAGAGGGCATACTCCTGTAGTCCGTTGAATACAAATCGATCACATACTATCCTTACCTTCAGCACGACAGTCCTTTCGGCTTTCACCATGCAGTACAAGACCCTTTCCTTGCTCCTTCTGACTGCCACTGCCCTGGCTGCACCAGAGGCCAGGCCCGAGGCGGACCCTGAAGCCGCTCCTGAAGCCGTTCCCGAAGCTTCCCCGGAGGATTTTGGCAAGAGACAATATGATTACTACTCGAGCCTCATGAACGATCTGAACAGCTTGTCAGTATATCCCCAGAAGCAAGTAAGCTGAACGATACTAACAGATCTTGCGGCAACAGGGCTGACACCAACAACTGGGGCAATTTCTTGACCAACACCGACTACAACCAATACTTGACCAACACCGACTTTGGTGGTTTCCCCACCAATACCGCCGTTGGCCATGCTCCTACCAACACCAAGATGGGCGGCGTCCCGACTGACCTGGGAGGTCTCGGCTCCTTCTCCATGCCAACCATGCCAAGCTTGTCCATGCCAACCGCCCCCGCCTTGACCTACGACGGCATGCCTCCTCCATCCATTGCCTCTGTGCTCATCACTGCTATTCCTTCCTCATACATGTCTCAACTCACCAATCCCAGCGCTCGCTCATCCCTTATCAACGATATCCAACACGGTCACTACCCTGCGTGGTACTCCGCTCTGCCTAACAGCGTCAAGCAGTGGATCTCGACCAACTATGCTTCCATGACTGGAGCCGCAGCAACGGCCACCGGTAAATCGGGCTCTGATTCTGGATCCAACGGATCTGGTTCTCAGGGCTCTGCGTCGAGCGCCAGCTCGCAAGGCGCTGCTCCTGCTGCCACTGGTGCCATTGCGGCTAGCGTTGCGGGTGCTGCTGGTATCCTTGGTCTTGCCCTGGCCCTGTAGGTTGATCAACGTATAGAGTTGACTGGTTGACAATGCTTCTGCTTCGTTATCGATGATATTGAACTGGCTGGAATGTTTAGTGAGAATTATGATATTTAATTCTTGAAAATAATACCTTAATGTTAGATTAACTGTTGCGGCGGACTACTAAGAAAACTATTAGCATTTTGCTATCATTCCTGTGAAAGTCCTACTAAAACCCAGTTGTAATGCATCATCATCGGCGGCAATGACTTCCATAGCTTGGACTGGAGGCAAGGGTAGCCCTAATATTAGGTCGTACTCTCTTCCAATCATAAAGACTGCAATATCCTAACCCGCAAGGTGGTCCTCGAGTAACGCATTTGCATGCAGACTGAAATCCTCGAGACACAATCAGCCAGTCCTAGACGCTGCAAAGGTCATCATCTTGAGTCATTCGCCAATGAGACTTTGCGGATGGTCATTACACAGACCACCAGCTGTGGGAGATACGAAGCTACGATCCAGATCTGCGAATGCTGACAATTACGGATGCGTTGATTGGCGGATTGCCACAAAGCTAGAACCCCCTTGATGTATCAGCAAGAGAAGCTACACACAATATGAATACCATATAAGAGTCTAGGGATATTTGAGACTGGACGACAAATAAAAGATGTAAGCATCGCTTCTTAACGGGCATTAAGCATATTAGTCCTCTGCTGTGACTTGTGGTTATCAATTCATCTCACTATCAACTCGCGTCTACGTCTGCAGAAGCCTAGAATCACCTGCGGCTTTTGACGTCAGTGCCACTGCTTGCTGCAATACTGTATATTTCACTTCTTCCTATTTTGGTCCTCTTGGGGCTTCAGACCCTCGAACCCATTTCCCGGTCGAGCTCATAAATCATCTCCTGAAATGGCGCTTTTATTTCTTAAACAAAAGTTTTTCCCGAATAAAGGAAAACAACGCCGATCAGATTCCTATGGTTTGTTGAACACGGGCTATTTACCGAAGTATACACAACGCTAACCAGGCAACAGGCAAGCCTCTTTTATCAGCAAGTGATTCCGACACTCTAAGTAGCGATGCGGACCAAGACCTCGAAGCTCAAAGATCCTATCGTACCTTCCACACATCTCGACCTGACTCCGACTCCGTTTCATCAAGTTCCTCTACTCCCCGATCACGCATCAACCCGCGTATCGTCTCGGATGCCATCCTGGGTCTATCCGATGGCCTCACTGTCCCCTTTGCGCTGAGTGCCGGTCTCTCTGCGCTGGGAAATACCAAGGTCGTCGTGCTGGGTGGACTTGCCGAGTTGGCAGCTGGTGCCATCTCCATGGGTTTGGGTGGATACGTCGGGGCCAAGAGTGAAGCGTACGTTTTTTCCGCTCTCGTTTTTGTTGTAATATGCTTGTGGACTAACAGCATACAGAGAGTCGTATCAAGCGACTGTCCGCGAAACTAAAGAGTTGATTGAGAATTCCTCTGTCGAGACCAGCACCATCGTCCACGATGCATTCTCCGCTTACGGTCTACCGGAAGCCGCCATCTCGCAGATCAACGCATCGCTGCATGCATCGCACGATCGTCTCCTTGACTTTCTCATCTCGTTCCATCACAAGGAGACCCAGCCAGATTGCAACCAGGCTTGGATCTCAGCCATCACGCTCGCCCTGGGGTACTTCGTCGGAGGTTTCATCCCGCTCATACCCTACTTCATAGTCGACCAGGTCATCGTGGCTCTGTACTGGAGTATCGGCGTCATGGCTGTTACGCTGCTTGCGTTTGGGTACATCAAAACCTGCGTCGTCCGGGGTTGGAGCGGTAGGGACAACATCATTGCGGGTATCAAGGGTGGCGTGCAGATGTGCTTTGTTGGAGGCGTAGCGGCTGGTGCTGCTATTGCGCTTGTGCGATTGATCGACCATGGTTCTGCTTAACTTCATGATACCACAGACTCTGATTTTATTATACATCAAAAGTCCAGGAGCATATAGACCGAGCGCGGCGTCTGGGAATGGGACAGGGAATGATACTTAATGTTATGATGACATGTACGATACTTGACTTTATACAACTTTCCTTAAATCACAATATGCCTAGACCAGGGTATCTTCGACATTACTTCTACTAGACGCGCAATTCATCACCCACTCAAAGCCCTCCCAACCAACCCCCTGGCCCTCTCCGACATCTCAATCTCCAACGCCAACTCATGCCCCCGCTCCGACATCTTCCCCCACGTCTTCCTTAGAATCCCCAGAATCTTCTCCTCATCATGCCCCCTCTCAAACTCCTCAAATTGATCATCCAAGAAAACAAGACAAGCCACATCCTCCAGCACCTGCGTCTCCTCATCCTTCCGCAGGTCCTCCTTCCGCACCAACGCCGCCACCCTCCCCGCCTCGGCCTCCGAGAACCCCGCCTCCAGACAGATCTGCTCCGCAAGCTCGGCCTGCCGTTTCGCGAGGTACGTCCGCCAGGCGTAGTAGCCTGCTTTTGTGGCCGGGTACGAGTCGCGGGGTACCTCCCAGCGTTTGAGATGCTGGGCGCGGATGGCGAGCTGGAGCGGCTCGGAGGCGTTGGCGGTGCGTTTGTGCAGGTAGGTGGTCATTTTGTTGGCGTAGTGGAGCTCGTAGGGGACTGTGCCATTGTTGGCAACGGTGATGCGGCGGGGATCTTGGGCGTGGGCTTCGTCGATGAGTGCGAGGGCTCTGGTGAGTTTGTCGCTGGGGGTGGTTGTTGTCATGGTTGGAGTTTTGCGATTTGTTGCTCGCGATGATGGTTTCGCTTGTATTGGTATGTGTTGACAGAGACTGAAGAAAGATAGGAGATTCCCCATGTAATAAGCACACTGCAATAGTGTTGTAGATAATCGGAACCTTGGGATTGGTCCTCCTCTCCGCCCCGCTTGATAGCACATTGGATCGATCTTGCCCCGCTGAGGGGTGAGAGCCTGAGGGTGAGACTTTTAAGATGACAATAGTAAAGAGAGGCTTCAGGCAAAACCATTCATATGCATTCATCTAGATATTGTATCACATTGGCGGCATCCTTGTGCCAGCGAAATCTCCCTAGCTATTTGTCCGTAGACAGGAAAAGACGAAAAAGAATACACAACCTCCTCCGGGTCCTTCAAGAGAGAAAAAGAGAAGTGTACCGCCATATCACCAGCATGATTGATGTGCCTTGACCAAAAAGTCATCCACCTGGGCGACGGAAAAAGGACAATTCAACAACAATTGACCCATCGAAGATCCAGCAGAAAAAGCTGAAACACAAAAGAACAAGGTAATGAAGTGAGAACATTCAAAAGTGGCAAGAGCATCCATTTCCGCAGCTGATTATTGCTCCCCACCGAACGCCGTCCCATTGTGAAAGCCGGGTATATCCAGCACCATAATGCAAAAAAAGAACAAAATGTACGGAGAAGTAATAAATGGGTCTAGGACAAGGTCATCGGCCTGATATCCGACCACAGCGATATCTCTCTATCGCATGCATATCCATGCATATGCCGCAGATAGTCAATGCCTCGCCCCCTGTTCAGGAACATCTCAAAGCCTTATTCACGAAGAGGAGCATTAAATAGAAAACTGCTTTTCATGCCGTAGATCTTATGGCCGTTCGGTTACCTCGCTCCAATGCCAAACATACCGACGCCATAGCTGCCGCCTCTATCGGGTAGCGGAGTCGAAACCTTTGAAACATGCTCCTTTAGGAAAACAAGAACGATCAGTCGTGTCCACGACCCATCCCAAATGGCATGTGATCTTACCTTCTTTCGTTTCTTCTTTCCAAGTCCTTCACTGTTGGAGTAGAATGCGGTGTCATCATCGTCATCGGCGTAGCCTTCGCCATACCCGACGAAGCTGTTATCGTCATAATGCCTCTTGCGCCCGCGACTAGGACGTGCACGGTCCGGCTCCGTAGCAAGAGGTGTTTCATTCGCTTGGCTAGGCGATCGGGCGGTATTAGGAATTGTAGCTGCTTTCTTTCCATCCCCATGGCCCGCATGTTTCGATGGCTTCTCGTGACCCAAGACGTCCTCCCAGTATTCGTTGTTTGGAACAGTGCCCGGCTCCATCTGCATCGCCTTCATCTGAAGGTTATGCAATGCGGAGTCAATGTCGGCGACCTTGATTTCCTTTCCATAAACCTTCTGATTCTGCCATTCCTCCTCGGGCCACATGGTCAGATGTCGGAGCCCGCCAGGAGCAGAGGGGTCGTGCTTCACGGGTTTGTTTCTCCCTGCGAGTCCCAACCCCTTCAGCTTGCCCTCGTAAGACTTCCTGAGCCTGTTGATCTTCTCCCCCGTGACAGGATCCATCCTTGCAACCGATTTCGCAACAGGACCTAGACCGTAAAGTGAGATGAGATCTAGCGCTGGGTCCGGACCGGTCGCAATATGGGCTGTAAATTGCATAGAGCGCAGCGTTAACAAATCTCAGTTCAGTAACATATGGAACATAGTGCATTGTGAAACGGCACGAATGGCCGTATAGAGAAGTCATCAGGGGTATCCTTACAGCTTTTGCAAAGATGGAATGCGGAAGAAAAATCCTGCTGCAGGGACTCTAGGCTCAGTCCATCGGATTTAGAAGAAGCGTTGCCGTCCTTGTCAACATCCATGGCATCTGTATCACTACGAGTATGCGGGACGCCCATGCTTGCAAAGTCGCGGACATCTATCCCTGGAGTTGGCCCTTCCACCTCCCGATCGTGATCGGTCCGTCTGTGCTCTGACTGTTGTGTAGATGATGAATGCAGACCTGAAGCGGTAGTTGTGCCTGAGTCTGCTTGCACGTGCTCAAATGATGTTCCCGCGTGCTCTGAATCCTCCACGGAAGTCGGTCCAATAAAGTGGCCGCTCACACTGCTGGCCGGAGTAGGAAAAGAATTCGTTGCACCTACGGTCGGCTGTTGTGAAGTCTGCGTAGACATCGGAGCTGAGGAAGGGGGGGATGAGAGGTTCGCAGGTTGTGACGTCGCCTGGCTGGGAGGTTGGGAGGATGCGATATTGGTGGCATAGTTAGAAGCGCTTACCGACATCAACGGAGGAGATGTCGGAGTCTGTGGAAAATGTTCAGAGGATATATACGGTGGATGGTTCTCTTTCAATGACCCGGAAGCGGGAGATGATGGTGAAGGAGGCCCTGCTCGGAATGACGCTGATGAGGCGCAATCAGACATGGGGATCCTAGACGAGAGATCCAGAACAAGGGAGAGGCAAGAAGCCCAAGCAGCCTGATCCCTGCGACCAACCGTGAAAAGATCCTATCTAGAAGACCTTTGATACGGGGGTAGCAAGCCAGGGCAGATCAAGGCTTTGAGAGGGGGGCGGAATGTGATCACGCCGGTCGAGGTTCGCTCAAGTAGGACGTTCCACGACCGTCTAAATGCCGCGCATTCCAATCAAATCAGACGATTTGTAACTGAAGAGTCGAGGGATCAATATTTTGTTGAGGTAAAAGGAAGAAGTGGAAGGCGATGTTTGGTGTTGGTGGTGAATAGTGATGCCCTTTGATCCTCCTCAATGGAGGAGAAACGACTGGCGATGTTGGATGACGGCAAAGAACGCACACGTGATCGGGTGTCTTTTCGCGCTTGCACTCGGCGCCGGGATTAATTACTTTCCTATTCGGGTAATGCGTCGTACAGAGTATAGAGACCTTCGGTGCCCCGGAACGGCAAAACATGTTGAACCTCAGATCTTGACCTGGTGTTTTGAGAATAATCTCTCTTTGATTTCGACAGTAGGAATAACATTAAGTGTGTATGCATTCGCCGCAGATTGTTGACTGGAAGTCTCCGTATGTCCTTTGCAAGAATCTCGGTACCTTTTGTACAGCCGTAATCCCCTAGACACAGCCAACCTCTCACGGGTAGCGGACGAGCGCTTATTTATGGATCATAGATGTCAGCCATCGAGATCTTACGCTTAATTCCCAGTCAGTGCTCGCAGATTCATTGTTCAATCATCTGGACTCAACCTACGGATTTCTGAACTCAAAATGAGATGGTGAAGTCTCGAAGATTGTAAGTATTGCTTCAAGCGATAATGCATCTCAAGAGGTCATATGGAGGTTCTGAGCTTTACCGTATTATTGTCTGCTTTCATGAACATGCGTCCGCAAGCCTGATAAAATTGACCTTTGGATGTGGTATCTGGGTACAAGTGGAATCTGTTCAAATGTGTTGGATCCAGCGCTGGATTGCCCATGTTAATCATGAAATGGATTTGAAACGATACGCTACCGCTCAATAGAGTCCATGGCCGTCAAATCGCTGGCCAATCGTTTCAAATACAAAAATAACCCCTCTCCCTTCAAACACTTGTACGTTAAATCTAGGATAGTAAAGACATTGATCTGAAGTGAGTGGTTGCCCCAACACCAAGCCGAGCACATTATTCCAGAATATTGAACAGAGCAGGATGGGGTATAGATGGATTTGCAGACAATGAAGACATGTATATCGCGAATAACTCTGAGATGAGTGATCATCAACCGGGAATTTCGCGAAGGTCATGACTGATAAAATGTGGCCGAGTCTCTCACAAGTTGTGCGGAAACGTCGGGGATATTTTCCTCCAATGATGCCATAAGCTCAATCTGCTCTTGCTGACTGAGCGTCCTTCCTCGCCATGGTGGAATGGGAAAAGCTCCATTGAAATACTGAGAATATTGATCATCGATCGTGTCCATCCAGCGCATTGGGTCAACGGCAGCATCAACATAGGTCAAATGGCTCGCTGTCGTCGAGGCAACAGTGAAATTAGGATCCCAACCGGGCAACCCCGGAACTACTGAAGGAAATGAATTAAATGGCGTTGTGGGATTGAAAGTGACATCGGAGAATACAGTGGATGACTCGGTGTACCCCTGAGGTGTGTATGAGGCCTGCGTAGAATTCGAGTCAGACGATTGCAATGGAGGGGGTTCGGTCTCCCACTGTGAGTAGGATGGAGGCTTTTGTGACTCGGCTCTCACGGCTGCCGCCGGAGATGCTTGCGAGTATGGGAAAGTGGGGTCCGCGGAGTGTCCTCTTGAGACAGTGCCGACTGAGACAGTGTCATGAATTGAATGATTTCCAGCTCGGAATGAAGTTGTCGTACTAGAAGGGCTGGAAATGGAAGGCGGAGTCATCACGTCCTGTGTGGATGACGGTGTTGCATGGTTGGAGGGCGAATGAACGACAAACGATTCGTCAGTATTATAAGCCTTGAGGCATGCAGTCACAAGGTTTTTGTACAGCAGCAAAGCGGACTCAACCCCGGGCCACCTCTCCGCAGCAAGCATCATCGCTTCCAGAGCGACGTCGAGATGAGCCCTGACCTCCTCTATGGGATGCTCCCTTCGAATATCGGGGTACGATAGGGACCAGAGAATGGTATTGAGCGCCATAAAGAGTGATTGTGTGAAAATCCAGGTTAAATCAACAGACCCAGTTGCGATCTGCTCTCGTTGCATTGCAACATTGAACACCGACGCTTCATAGCATTTTCGTGCAGCCTCAACGGAGGGTTCGGGAACTTGAGGGGATGGTCGGAACATGAAGACGATCATCGTATTCCGTCTGCCATGAAACCTATTGGGAAAAGGTCGGTGATCAACAAAGTCAACCAGATGGGATTTATTTCTTACCATTTTTCGCTCAATCCGCTACCGCCATCGTTTTTAGGACAAGAAGCCACCCAGTGGTCAAGCTTGGCTAGCATCTGCGAGAACCACGGGTCTTGATCATTCG